ACTGGTTCTTCGAACCGGATTAAAACTGGGGCTATTGGCAACACCATTTTCTGATTAATTCGGGTCAAATTAAAAATTAGCACTCTAACGCCCCAACAAAATAATTCTCTGTAACAGTTTTATTCCCACTACTATTAATTTGATGAAGGTTTAACAAAATACGAGTGAAATTTCAAGCCGCCTTATAAATGGACAAAAGTTAAAAAGAGAAAGGTTTACGAGCATTTTGCTGTTGCCATATTCCATTCTAATTTTAGATTTTGGAATTATACATATTTCCTTTATTTTCTTTTCGCTAATTATGTTTATTTTCGGTGTAACGATATAATCACTAAAAATTTGAAATGATTAATGAAGTGTAATTTTATATGATTACCATGTAGTGACATAGTAGTTGGTAGAAGCCTCCAACTAATATTAATTAATAAACATATATAATGTTTTAAATAAATGAATATACTATATAAGAATAAAGAATTAATTTTTGCTACATTCTTAGTTTGTTGCTATAGCATTACATTTCGTTTCAATTGTAATTACGATAGGAGATACTCTTAGATCCATTATCAATTTTAAAATAGTTTGGTGGCAGAGGTTGTGCTTGAAAATGGACCAAATACCAGCGTAAAATAGCAGCTTAAGGCTGTTGTATTGAGTGTAGCGAACCGGTGACCTTTTTTACTGGAAACGAGCCAGTCCATCTTAGTTCTTAATAACGCATATGCATTTATTTTTAACTAGCTGTTACCCGCGGCTTCGCCCGCATGGTCACTGGGAAATTAACTATCAATGGTTTTTTGAATTGAAAGAAAACTGAGTTTTATAGATTTGTCAGAGATTCAGCCATTAAAAGGAAACTGAGCAAAATTGATTCGTCAGCCTATTTAAATGTTTTGAAACGCAGCGTATATATATATATATATATATATATATATATATATATATATATATATATATATATATATATATATATATATATATGATATAGGAACACACATATAGGAAAGCATGAAAAGCCTAGCCTGTTTATTCCAAATGGAAATGGGATAGCTTTTTAATTGAAGGAAACTGAGCATAATTATCCGTCAGGGATGCTTTACTTTTACTTTTATATACTTTTGAAAAGAAACTGAGCTAAATAGGAAATTTTGAATTGAAAGGGAAGATCTGTGGGAATTCTGATTAATTGATTGTGGGAATTTTGGAAAAAAGAAACAACTGAACACTATTTTAAGACGCTACTGTACACAATGTTATATGTTTTTCCATTCGGGGGAAGAATGTTGAGATTCTGGGCATTTGACACACGCGAACATGCTACATACAGCTGACCATGACAAAAGCACGGTTTTTCTAAGTTGACTCCCGCTCCTCTAACGTTTGCCCTTGCGTTTTATTAATTTTCATTGCAAAACTGAGCTTAATAGGGAACTGTAACCTTTTGAATTGAAAAGGAAGATCTGTGGGAATTATAAGGATCCGTGGTATAATAACATTTTCACCTTTTCCTATGCCTGTCAAAATTGTAGCACCGATTATGTTCCGTCCAAGATGTGTCACACGCAGCCTTGTCCCGTTACATAACCGAGGAGCATCTAAATTTCGCATTAGCATGACTGGGACATCTAATTTTAATTGAAGCTTATGTGCACACCTGACAACTCTAGAGAATTTAGAAACTATGCGGGATATGAAGTGCTCTGTTCTGTGTCCATAACTGTGTCTACTGACAAATACTCTGTTATTTCTCCTGCTACTTCGCTTAATACATCTGAATTTATTTTGTTAACGCTCTCATTTTTTGGTGCAAGAATCACCCTTTCACATAACCATTTGTCTTCATGCATGTTGTTCGTTAAATGTGAATAAACGCTCGTAATTAATTCGGAATGACTCTGTACTAAATAACAAAAATCTCTCGTCAATTTAACGCAGCCCTCAGCATCCGTTTCCAACCGCTCATCACCAATTGTTAATAGTGTGTCAGCATAGTTTCCAGCATTGATATCATTATACAAATGCACTCTCATATTCGTAGTTAAACTGAATTTTGTCACCTTGTTCCATAAAATAGACGACTTGAGGCATGCTTTAATTTCATCTGCAGGTGTGCCCTTTTGAATGACAGGTAAAGTTTGGCGAAAGTCACCAGCCAGTAAAACCACCACTCTTCCTATTACATCGGTATTGCTGCGCAAATCCTGGAGCGTTCGATTTAGTGCTTCTACAGCTTTTTTATGCGACATTGTACTTTCGTCCCACAAGAAAGTTTGCATTGTCGTAGCATTATACCTCGTGCACTATTTTTGCTAAAGTTGCAGATCGGCGATTCTTCCTGGGCTAGATTTAGAGGGACTTTTAAAACAGAATGTGCAGTGCGGCCCCCGCTTAGCAGCGTGGCGGCTATACCGGAGGAAGCTACGGCCACAGCAATGTTTTTATCTTTCCGTACTTGCGCTAATAATAAATTTAACAAAAATGTCTTCCCAGTTCCTCCAGGGGCATCTAAAAAGAAAGGTGCACCATTTACAGATTCAATTTGTCCTAATACTTTGTCAAAAATTCGTTTTTTGTTCGGGAAGCAAGCGGGGTACAAATTCGGCTACTTGCTGCTGCAAAGCTGGTATATCGTAGTTTATTTCACGTATAATTTCATCACTTAGTACATTTTCGGTTGTTCACTGAGGGCTTATCATTCCAAAGTCGCTTAATTTTTTGCCTACCATTGCCATTACTCTATCTTCAATTTTTCCAAGTGCTTCATTATAAATGTGTTCATTGTATGTCATGTTCGCGTGTGTCTGCTGTAACCTTCGCAAAATATCTTCCGTCATGTACTCTTTATATTTGTCCCACAATTCTTGTGCATTAGCTAGCCCGCAAGATGATATAAGAGTTGCATAAAGATCCCTAATTATGTCTGGTGACTGGCACTGCACAGCTTCTTCCATGGTTTCATCCCTGTGATTATCTTTTTTAAAAGATGCAGAGCTTCACATGCTTCTCTATAAGTTGCACATTCCTAACCGTTGACAGTTTTAAGGTCTTTATATCCTGTAGGACCCCGAACATGGTGCAGCAGCAATCGTAAACAGAAACATTCAAAATTAGTTACATGGATGGTATACACACGACGAAAGGCATCTGATGATTATACACCGGGCCAATTTAAAACAGGCGCGCCTTGAATACGGCATTTCCACTCCTTCCTAGATGTGTTCTAAGTATAATAGCGGGGGACTTCAGAATATAACAACGTTTTTGCAAAGGGGTTGGTTTGACAAAGTTAGTTTTTGATGGTGATGCAATTCTTTCTTGGAAATTTCTTTCGGTGAAATATACACGCTCTCCATTTTCTAAGTGCACAACAAGGTGCGTAACTGTTGGGTGCCTTTCGTGTAAAGAGAAGCCAAGGAGACGCCACGCTGCCTCGTTACTGCTGACATAACGCCCTGCTTGAAAGGTCTGTACTTCATTAACGGGATTGGCATCACCTTCAGTCCTGAGAATAAATATTTCTTGGTTTATTTTATTTATTTATGTACTTACAGATATACTTGATTGCGCGAACAGAGCTTACATGCTTCTACATTAATGTGAGCATTAAACATTTTACATATAAAGGGCGAATACGGGAAAATCCAGCTGTTATCTAAGGTTTCGAATGCTTCAGAGCGAGATTTGATTGTAACTTTCCTGCCACCATCTTCGGGAGCTCTGCGTCTGTTTAACAGCCACTGTCATTGTGCACTGTTTATTTTAATAGCTGTTTAGGGAATTTCTTTGTACATTTTCCTTCTTTCATAAATGGCGATATTGAATTTCGTGTTCCACATGGACCGTATCATAGAATTCTTTATCTTGCTCAGAATCCGGAATCTCGGAAAATCGCAACTCCATAGAAACATATTTATGTATGTTTTTTCGTATGGCCCACATATGGCACATGGTGCAGTATAATGTAAATCCGTAGTAATGTCTTAGGAATAGTTATGAATGAAATAAACTCATAGTAATCAAACTTTATTCATGAAAATTATGTTTTATAACAACTAATTTAACCTTAGGTTAAGGAGCCTTACAATCAAAATATTTGTACTTATATATAATTATAAAACTAGGAACTTTTTTGTGAAAAATAGAATAAAATATAGAACAAAAACAACAATTTCGAAACAATGACAAAAACAATGTCAAAAATGACAAAAACAGTTCCTGTCCTTGTGAGACAGAGTGCCTGGTCACATTTCTGGCAAATTACAAAAGATTTCCCCTTACAAGCAGGTAACTTACATCGCTTCCTAATGTTAGACCAAATAGGAAAGTGTTCCATTCCATCGGTCCTGACATCTTTTGGTGGTACATTGAGTTTTGGCTTCCTTTTGATTCTTTCATCCAGCATGTCAGATACAAATGAGGAAGGTCTTCCTCTCTTCTTTATTATTGACGGTCCACACCAACACAATGCTTTGGCCACCTCCAGTCGGAATTCTCGTAACTTCATCATTTTTCTATTTTCCCTCTGTGTTTCTACTCTTTTATATAAAAGCCAGCTATTTATCAGCATCACATCTAGCAAATGATAGAATATTCTGATGTACCACTTTCTTGTACGCATTTTTATTTTGTGTTTTCCTATGAAAGAGTCAAGGAGATCTACTCCGCCGATTGTAATGTCCAATAATATTTGGGGCGTTGACTTCTGTGTATTGTTTACGTTTCTTACAGAAACGTTTTACTTTATATTTAGGTTTTTTACTGACAAAAGAAGATGCGAGAACAACAGATTTGCTGTCTAGCCACAGCACTGCTGAGACCGGTACTGCATCAACAGTAGCCACCCGTCCTTCTGAATAGCCGCGCGGCCTTTTAGCGGCAGTCAATTCTTTTTGAGATGGCATTTTCAAAGTCATCACCATACGACCCTTGTTCACGGTGCCTAATGTATGAATGCCTTTTTTTTAGCCATGTAAGAAATCAATTCAGGAGACGTGTAATAATTATCGAAAAAAGATCTTATAATTTTGATTTCTTGGAACACTGCGACATAGGCGTACAACAATGTTGCTACTCGCTCCTAAATCACATTCGTGGGGCAGCCTCAACTCAGGATCATTTTCTGCGCCGGAGTAGATTTCAAAGTCATAAGCAAAACCTTTATCATCACACAACACCAACAAATTGTATCCCCACTTATGAGGTTTGTTCGGGAGATACTGGCGGAGGAACTTGCAGGCTTTGGTAGCGCACATTTGCTCATCCACCGAAAGTGTCTCTCGTTTCGGCACAGCTTGACATTTCTTTCTCAATGTTTCCAACAAGGGTCTAATACGGAAAAGTCTGTTGTGTCCTGGCTCTCCTCTAGGTTTGTAATTTATATTGTCATTGAAACGTATGACACTTCGTAATTTTTCAAAGTTACCGAGTGTCATCGTTTCAATTATAAGTGGTGTACCTAATATAGAATTCCACAACATGCGAATGTTTGGCTGTGGCACCAGTCCTAACAAGAGACAAATGCCTAAATATTTTTTGAGTTCCGTCTTTGTAACCAAAACTGGCTTTGAGCAATCCTTCTGTATGCTGTATTTAGTAGATTCTTCAGCAATGTGATCCAACAAATCGTCGTCAAAAAAGTGCAAAAAGTACTGCAAAGGTGTTTCAAATGTAGTATATGGTTGTCAGGTTGCCAACACGTCAACGCCAGTAAATGTGGTATCAGGTGGCTGAAAGTCCATCTTCCGCCATATGTATTCTCTCTTAGGTTTTGGCCTGGCAGGCCTGACAGGCTGTGGGGAAGGTGAAATGATGCGGGGAGTAGGTACTGCTTGAGGCCGTGATGCTACTCGGCTGGATCTAGGATTTACTTGCCTGGAAGTACTAGGTTGTGATGCAACGTTGGCTATGTTAGAAGAACTGCTTGTTGGCTGAATCACTAACATACTACTGCTTGACCTTTGACTAAGTATGCTCACGTTCTCATCGAAGAAATCATCCTGTAGTACTTCAGGGCACGTCTCCACTTCGTTCAACACCAAATCCTGGATTCTAATCAAGTCGTCATCGCTGTCCTCATCAGACAGTTCCAGGTCATCTTCACTACCGGAAGGAATTTCGAGAAACTGTTGAATATCATCAGAATTCAAATTTTTCCTTCGGCTCATCTAGAAACAATACAAATATTTTGAAGACACTTATTGCATCGTGTGTCACATCTGTCACATACAAAAATGTCGTATTTCTATGCACTATTTATTTATGAAATTACAAATACCTAAAAAAATATTAAATAGATACATAAACTTACCTCTACAAATTATTTCGTATACAAACTATTTAAATTTATCAGTTTTTTTTGTTTTTTTTTCTTGCGCAACCTGTCGATCACTTTGAAAATACCGTTGGTTTTGAACAAAATGTAAACAAACATTCATTCAGAGACATCTAACCAAAAATTTTAGTACTAAATTTGATTGACCATTCCTTTATAGTTAGTTTACTTTTGACTATATGACGCTACTTATTTCGAGTACGGAAATATAAAGGTTTTTTAGGTATGTGCCACATGTGTCCCACTATGCGCTGTAGGGTTAAGCCATATTAGAATGTGGGCATGCGGTAATCCTCTTTTTTTGCCATTTAATTGAATACATGAAGCACTGCACCTCTCCGAAAATTTTCCCTTTGTTAATTACATACATTAATTTTTGTACTTTTAATCTAAATACTCTAGCAACTAAAACGTGTCTGACAGTACTTTTTTGGCCCGGCATTAGCTCCTCGGTTATTTTTTTCCATGTGGGATCGCAAGTAAAAGTAAAAAAAGATCAGAGATATAAGTTCGTACATAGGCGAATGTGTCTTGTGTGTACTTATGTAGGTAGCGGGGACTGTTAACGAATGATGAGGGCAGAATTACCATTTTACCTAAATCTCTGTGGTTTACATTGGCGTCGCTAGAAACTGCATCTTGTAAATGTATATAATTCTCAAGGCGCAGTTTTTTTGATTTAAAGATATACAGGTTGGTCCAAACAGTGAGGTTATAAAATTTTTTTTGATTCCTCACACCTAGGGGTATCCGAAAATACCCTATGTATATTACGCGATTTTTTGTAGTTTTCGAGTTATGATTTTTTTTACCCTTTTTTTTGAAAATATTCACCCTAAACAGCTTAACATTAAAAAAAAGTGTTTTTTGTTTGTAACATGATTCTTATGAGTTGCCCTATTATGCATAAAATAATTAGCTTCCTAAGATTCACCGAAGATATAATAATTTTAAACGAAACTTAAAAATTTTCTGTCAGGAGAGTGGGGCTTGAATTTTCAACATTAAATGAAAAATAGTAATAAATGATTTCATACTTTCTAATTAATTTTATAAACTTGGCAGTACCTTAATCTTTCATAATAACATTAAAAAATGACACTTAATAGACCAGTTTTTCTGTTACATACTTCTGAAGTCACTCAAGCAGGAAACTACCTGAATAGTTAATTTGATTTAAAAAATCTTTTTATAATTTCTAGGGCTAAACTAAGATAGTAAATGCTTCAGGTTAGAAAAAATAACATCAAGTGTCTTTACTTATTGTTTAAAATTTATAGACAACAAGGTATCATTTTACTACGTTCTAGACGAATGATTTCAAGATTCATAATAAAAGTAATAAATAATTTAAGATAAATTTATTTAAAGTAAATTTTCGAAATGGCGGCCATGAACTTCGATACACAGTCTACATCGTCTTAAAAAATTTGCTTTTAGTCTTCGAAAAGCATTCGTATTTTCTTTGATTTTTTCTGCGCACTGTCTCATGTTTTCCCTTAATTCATTTTCGGAATTAATTTTTCTAGCATACACCATCTCTTTGTAGAATCCCCAAATAAAAAAATCTATAGGGTTTAAATCTGGTGAGCGTGCAGGTCATTCCTTCAACCGTTCGACCTTCCTGGGAAAGTTCTGTTGAGGTGCTCCCTCACTTGTCTTTCAAAATGGCAAGGAACACCGTCATTTTGAAATATCATATCCCTCCTCGTTTGTAAATTAACTTCAAACAATAAACCATTTAAATTATTTTTTAGAAAATTCAGGTACTGGGACCCGTTCAACCTAGACGGCAATTCAAAGGGCCCAACCATTTCTCCATTTATGACTCCTGACCACATGTTGATACTAAATCTATTCTGAAAATTTGACTGTCTTGCTTTTTTTGGGTTTTTAATGGCCCAGCTATGATGATTGTGAATGTTAAAGACGCCAGTCCTTTCAAACCGGGATTCATCCGTCCAGAGTATCTTGTTAAAAAAATTCGGGTCTTCCGCAGATCTTTCCAGCATTATTTGGCAGAAAGCAACACGCCTTGGATAGTCTGCGTCGTTAAGTTGTTGAACACGCTGAATATGAAACGCGTGATATCCCTCTGGAAAAAAGATTAGTATTTTTATTGTAGGTTGTCATTGTACACAATACTAGAGGTACGTACCGATAGAGCACGTGAACGTGAAACTAAAAGTTGGGATTCGCTAGAGTGGCGTCCTATCGCCTATTTTTGAATTACGAGCACTTGTTTAAGGGTCTCTACATCTCTCTCTTTTACACGCACACACTACACATTAGACATCGACAATTCACAGTAAATTAAATGAGTGTGATTTGAAATGGCAGTGCAGCAATGTGTTGGGATTTTGAATAAAGAGGTCTACAAAATAATAAAATGCACTCACCTGATTTCAGTATTCTTAAAACTGAAGTCCTTGGGATTCCAGTCCTTCTTGTAATCGCTCGTGAACTAGTAAGGGTCTCTATCTACTTCTTCAATGATTATATCTCTTCTTTCTGGATCCACTCTGGGTAGTCCCTCGCGACGTTGATTACGCCCAGGAACGCGTCCAGCCATCAGAGTTTCGTGGGTCTTATTAAAAACCCTGTAGCCCGGGTAATGCTCTAACACTTCTCGCCGCTCCAGTTGCTCTCGATAAAGCCGTGCCGTTAATGCGCCGTTTCCTTGGGCAACGCCGTAGAAATAGTACATCTCTGCATATTGACTGTGAGAATAACTCATTGCTAAAAGTAATCCAAATCACTAAGCAACTCAAGGTCCATAAAACAAGCACAGGTCAATCGTAAGGCAAATCAATAATCTGGGAAACAAAGCGAAGGTAGTCAAATAAGAGAACCAAATAAACGTAAACGTGAGTAGTGGTTGCACGCGGAAAAGCAGGCGCGGGGTGCGGCCTGGTAACAAAATAGAGCGCAAAGCAGGAATGTTTACCTGAGCCTTTGTTTAAAATTCTTTTGTGTGTTTGTGTCTGAATGTGCTATCATTTAGTTTCAGTGAAATAAAAAAAACATGTAGTTTGTAGTAAAATGATACCTTAATAAATATCACGTTTTAACAATAAGTAGTTTTCTTTGCTAACCTGAAGCATTTACTACCTTAGTTTAGCCCTAGAAATGATAAAAAAGATTTTTTAAATCAAATTAACTATTTAGGTAGTTTCCTTCCTGAGTAACTTCAGAAGTCTGTAACAGAAAAACTGGCCTATTAAGTGTCATTTTTTTAATATTATTATGAAAGAATAAGGTACTGCAAAGTTTATAAAATTAATTAGAAAGTATGAAATCATTTATTACTATTTTTCATTTAATGTTGAAAATTCAAGCCCCACTCTCCTGACAGAAAATTTTTAAGTTTCGTTTAAAATTATTGTATCTTCGGTGAATGTTAGGAAGCTAATTATTTTATGCATAATAGGGCAACTCATAAGGATTATGCTACAAACAAAAAATACTTGGAAAAAATTTCACAATTACATTTTTTTTATTGTTAAGCTGTTTAGGACGAATATTTTCAAAAAAAAGGGGTAAAAAATCATAACTCGAAAACTACAAAAAATCGCGTAACATACATAGGGTATTTTCGGATACCCCTAGGTGTGAGGAATCAAAAAAAATGTATAACCTCACTGTTTGGACCACCCTGTATAACGGAGACGTTCACTTTCTACCTTCACAAAGATGTCTACCAAAAATTGATGAAATAATTGTCTACACCGGGCTAAGAGGTTAAAATCATTTTCTCGAAACATCATAATATGATACTGTGACGGCCCAATATTATTATTAATAATTAAATTCAATATAAAGGGGCGTCAAAAATAGTCTTAAAAGATATATATTAAACAATGAAATTACATTAATAACCATAAAGTGAATATAAATACATTTCAGATATTAGACCAATAACATAGTAAATAAAGGCAAAATATTGTCTTCCATAATAAATAAATTTATTAAAAACTTGAAAAAAATATTTAAAATAAGATAATTAATAGAAATACAAGTCGAAAATATTATAAAAATTAAGATAAATAACATTTATAAGATAATTAGAAAATTTGTTGAAAATTGTCTAAGTCGTGGAAGGAGTTCATGTATAAAAGAAAATTTTCCTAAGTTGTTGAAGGAGTTCGTGTATAAAAGAAATTTTCTAAGTTGTGGAAGGAGTTCACGTATAAAAGAAAAGTTTCCTAAGTTATGGAAGGTGTTCATGTATAGATGTCTTGTATAGAGGAGCTGCCGGAGATACATACCTGCAGTTGTACATATATATGGGGTGGTCGGGAGCCCGACTGCCTGAAGTACTGTAGCACAATGACTAGTCCTATATTAGGGACTTATGATATTAAACTCACATGATACAAAAGCAATACAATAGAAGGTCTCTATGATTAATATGCATTACAATAGTAGGGTCGTGGGTTCGAACCCTATATATTAATGACTTATGGTCTACAATACAAAAGCAATACTATAGAAGGTCTCTATCATAAATATGCATTACAATAGTAGGGTTGTGGGGTCGAACCCTATATATGAATGACTTATGAAAGTAAGGTCTATGATACAAAAGCAATATTATAGAAGGTCTCCTTGATGCATAAGCATTGTATGGGGTGGTCGGGTGACCGACTGCTCCTAGTACTGTAGCAAAATGACTAGTCCTTATCAGGGACTTGAAAAGGAATATTATGGTGGCGTGTATGCTGCTTCACGAGCAATTGGTCCGAGGTAAACTTGGACTCGCTAACCGATGTGTCCTAGACATAACATCTAAGTGCCGATGGTAAGCGGGTTTGTTGTAGCAATACGGCTTTC